GAGCACCAGTAGTTGCTGTAATGGGAAAAACTAAAGGTTTAAACTTTAAATGAGATGTTACCATTGGGGTTCAATTGACAAGTGCTTCAATTGTAAGTATAGTCAAGCTGACAGGTAAATCAAAAGCCAGTGTGTCCTAAGTCCACATTGCATGGTTATCAGATCAAAAACTTCTTGAAATAATCATTCTTGGCTATTTGTAAACAAGTTAACTATTCATGAAGCACTCTGGTTTTATGAATGCCTTCTTTGTCTCTAGATAGTGGTTGGAAGAGAAAGTTATCAAATAGAGATGAGGCAAATATAAGCTAACAGACACGTTAACTTGTTCCAAATATATATATATTATTTGAAAACAAGTGAAGTGCGTGCTGTTTATTTATCATTTAATTTATTCCTAACAAGTCACAAACACCTACTGTAGAAGAATCTTAAACCCAACAACAACATAGTATATATTTATACTATTAAGAAATAAAACTAAAAGCCTTTTTATTTGAACAATTGTCAAAAAAGAAAGAATTATATTTTTTAAACTCTGACAATGTCACAAATGGGGTACCTCATGGCTCAGTGTTAGGACCTTTACTGTTTTTTATTTATATCAATGATATAGATGAAGATATGGTCAATCAATTATCTGAATCCGATAAAGATATTGAAGTTTTGGGTGTTGAGGGTTGTAATGAAGATTATGCTTTAAAAAAAAATTTGGATTATTTGGCAAATTAGGCAAATAAATATCAGATAGCTTTTAATTACAATAACTGCACAGTAATGAATGTGGGAAATCACAATTTGAATTATGAGTATAATTTTGATGGGAATAACAATAACAGTGTTATGAAAAAAAGAAGGTATTCTGGTTGATCAGTTTCTTACACCATTCGAGCAATGTGTTGTTGATAGTAGCAGGACAAATAGGATTTTAGGTTGTATCTATAAAAATATTGAATACTAGTCTAAGAGGTTACAATATCATTGTATAGGTCATTGGTTAAGCCACATCTGGAGTTCTGTGTTCAGTCTTGGACTTCTCCTATCTGAAAAGACATAAAATTGTTGAAAGGGTTCAGTGGAAGGCTACTAGGATGATAACCTGGGATGGAAAAGTTATCATATGAGGATAGGTTGAAGATCATACCGTCTTCACCTCAAACCCAAGAATTGGGGATTATGACCCGCACTGATTTCTGGGTATGACACAAAGATCATCACTGATCTATCGATCTGGGAATTGATATCCAGTATCAAAAGGATGTCAATCACATAAAATCAACTCATGTGAGGAGTTAAGGTGATGGGTTCACTCTAATCTAAAACCTCTTAGTGGGGTACTGACATCCGGGTAGGAGTGATATCTCTCAATTGAAGGGGTGAACTACAATTTCGACAGCTCAACTCCAATGTTTATGTAAATGGTATCAGGAGGTCACATCATCCAGTAAGGTGATGGCTCAACTCCAGTGTGTGTGTAAATAGAATAAGGAGGTAATGTCATTCTGTAAGGTGACAGCTCAACTCCCATGGTTGTGGAAATGGTATCAGGAGGCCACGTCATCCATGAAGGTGACAGCTCAACTCCAGTGTTTGTGTAAGTGGTATCAGGAGGCCACATCATCCAGTAAGGTGTTAGCTCAACTCCCGTGAATGTGGAATTGGTATCAGGACACATGAACCAGCAAGGTGACAGCTCAACCCCAATGATTGTGTAAATGGTGTCAGGAGGAAACATCATCCAGTATGGTAATGGTTCAACTCCTCTGGAGGCCACATCTCATCTACA